TATATATATATATATATATATATATATATATGTATGTGTGTGTGTGTGTGTGTGTGTGTGTGTATGTATATGTATGTATGTATGTATATGTAATAATTAGTTACTATATTAATAAGTTTCTAATTGTCATAAATTAAATTATACATTGAATATAAGAATTGAGAATTAAATAAGATAAAGATACATGAAAAATATCATGTTTCTCTTGTGACTATTATTTGATATTTTATCATGTTTACATAATTCGATACTATTAAGTTTCACTTCAAAAAAAATTAATATTTTAATATGGTTGATATAGGAGTGTATAACAAAACTAATTAGTATATCATCATTCATATTAAATAAATTGTACTCGTAATTTTCTATACAATTTAAATAAACATATAATTAATTTTCATTAGATTTGAATAAGCAATATTAAATTTAGACAATATGTTTGTATCTATATACATTGATCACTAATTACACTCAAGTTAGATAAATAGAAAAGTTGTATATTTAATGGTCTAATACTATTTTAATAACTTGATAACTATCATAATCTAATGAAACACTAAAATGAAGAAGTTAATATAATTGAAATAGGAGTAAACAACAAAACTAACAATATTGTAGAGGACAAAAAATATTGTAAAGAATACAATATATTATAGATAATCTTTATTTCATGCAAGTTGATTTTTTTATTTTACTCAGTGTAAATTATGTATTTAATCTTTTGCATTTTCCCTAGATAATTTTCTTACTTACTTGTATTTGTTAGTACTTACATTTCTCTCATTTATAGTATTTATGTTAAGTAAGAAATAAAAGGAAGCAAATAATATATTAACAAAAATAAAAGGAACATAAAGGCAAATTGGTCCAAACCAAAATCCCCAAAACCTAATAAAAGCCCTTCAAACTCACTTTGTGCGTCCCCTTCCCAGCCTCCTCCTCCTGCATTCCCTTCCCAGCCGCCTCCCCCTTTCCTCCATTTTCCCATTTCCTTTTTCAACAACACTTTCTCTCTTCACATGTACATAGCAAACCAACGGAATCATTGGCCAGATAGCCCGGCGCCTTCTCTCTTTCCAAGTATGTTTATGTATTTACATCTTAGAATTTCTCAATCTCATACACCTACTTGATTTGAATTTTTGGATTTATATTCTAACAGTTTGATAGATATTGTGCAGTATTGTGATAGGTATTGAGTGGAACCTAGAAGATTATAATGTAATGTTGGGAGAAGCCACAGTTCGTCTAAAAGACGTTACAAATAAAAATTAGATGAAAATCCTTTCAAATATTTTTAAAAAAGTATACAGGTTTGTTTTCTTATCTTGTTGCTTTGAATTTTCCCTCTTGTTATATGCTAAAAAAATTTGTAAAAGAATTATCTAAACATAATTTTTCTCTCTCTCAACTTCTATTTACATTTATACAAATCAAACTTGCATATTTTATTAATGGTTCGCTCATTCTTTTGTGCTAATTTTTGTTTCTTTTGAATTTACAGGGTGCATTTTAATCTGTTGAATACAAGTAAATCAAACATCAGTCTTGATGCAAAGAGTAAAATTACTTCATCCTTGACCGCAGAAGATCATCTGGTGGCAACATCTTCAATCCCCAGATCAAATACTTAGGAACTTAGTTTTGTTTTGATGTGGAACCCTTCAGAATTTTATAGATTATAGTTGAATAATCGAGTCTACTTTAGATAGATATGTGTATTTTAGAATTAATTTTTGAAACTTTTTGATGTAAATTTGTATAATAAAGTGATATTCAAAGTTTATTATTGTGTGTTATATGGTTTGATCAAAGATGTATGGATATGGAATATTTGAAAATTTTAAAAATATTTAATGAGGTAAAAAAGGAAAATAGCAACGCATAGGACAGAAACATTTATTATCTCTAATAAATAATTTTTTTATAAATAAAAATAAAATGTAATAATAATCTAGTCACCAAATAAAACATAATAAAAAATTAAATCATGGATATCTTTGACGATTTATAGCTATAAAATTATGGGTTCGTAGCTAAATATAAATACTATAATTCAAATCTAATATGTGAGCACAACTAGTATTTGAATTTTGTGGCTATATAAATAACATCTTTTGCCACAGAATATCCCTTTGTGGCTAAAGTATAGAAGATAGCTGCAAAATTGGTTTATTCATGGCAAAAGAATAAAATCATTAGCTATAAATATATATATTTCATGGTAAAATATTTTATTAATATAGCTACATCACAAAAATTCTAGTAGCAATAAATACTAATTCTTAGCCACGAAATATTAAAGTTTGTAGCTAACTTTTAGTTACGCTACTTGTAGCTACGGATGCTACGGAAAAAATTATTGTGGCTAAAGTGTTTAGCCATAGAAATTTTCATGTTTAGCTACGACGTAGTTCATAGCTGTATATGTATAATGTTGTAGTGGCTTTCTTTATGAGTGCTATTTAAATATTAAGGACATAGTATCCTTAATATTTACACTACACACATGAAGTTAATGACGTCATATCCTTAACATTTACATTGCACACATGAAGTTAAGGACATGATGTCCTAAAGTTTAACAACGGAAGGTGCAAATACATAACACTTTGTCCTTAATATTTACACAACATTCATGAAGTTAAGGACACCACGTCCTTAATATTTACACAACACTCATAAAGTTAAGGACATTGTGTCCTTAACATTTATACTGCACACATGAAGTTAAGGACACCATGTCCTTAATATTTACACTGCACATATGAAGTTAAGGATACGAGGTCCTAAAGTTAAACCACAGAAGGTGCAAATACAAGTTAAGGACATTATGTCCTTAACATTTATATTGCACACATGAAGTTAAGGACTCCATATCCTGTCACGACCCGAAATTCCCTCCTTCGGACCGTGATGACGCCTAACATTTCACTTGCTAGGCAAGCCAACGTTAGAATACTATTAACCAATTTTTTAAATAATTTTTAAATTATTAATAATCAAGGAAACAAAAGCGGAAGCAAAGTTTGAAATATAGTGAATAATCCATAAAAAAAATGGTGTCTAAATACCATCCCAGAATTGGTGTCACAAGTGCACGAGCTTCTCGAATAAATACAAATAAGGTCTGAATAAAATAAAGCTGCCTGGGAATAAACACATAACTAAAGTAAAATAGACGGGGACTTCAGAACTGCGGACGCCATGCAGTTATANCAGCAAGCATACAATAATTATAATTTAATTATGAAACAAACAATGACAAATAGCAGATTATTATGAAAATCAAGGAGAAAATAGGCAGTTTAATATTTAATATGTTAAATATCAAATAACAATTAAAACACATAATTCAAATAGCATGTAACAATTAATGCAGGAATTCAAGAATTAATATTTGATAAAGAATAGGAGAGAAATAATTATTATAATAATTAATTTATGATTTAAAATAATTTATGANGGAATTCAAGAATTAATATTTGACAAAGAATAGGAGAGAAACAGTTATTATAATAATTAATTTATGATTTAGAAAAATTTATGATTTTTCAAGTAAGCAGGCAAACTGTTACACCTCCTTTTTCCCGAGAGAATATGAGAGTTTTTCTAATTAAAGTGACATTAGTCGAAATGGGATTATTTGTGTAATCAGAGTCGCCACTTGGGATATTTTATGGTGTCCCAAGTCACCGATTTATTTTAAATCCCAAATCGAGGAATTTTGACTCTGTTTAAAGTCTGCGAAACTAGAAGACCGGGTAAGGAATTCCGTTAATCTGGGAGAAGGTGTTAGGCACTCCCGGATTCCGTGATTTTAGCACGGTCTCTTTAATCATACATGGCTTAATTAAATTATTAAATTACGTGTTTCAGAACCTATGTGCAATTTACCCTTTACCACTTTTAGATATGGCGCTTATGGATTTATCTTTGAAACGGATCACATGTGTGTGAATCCGTTTTATTCGGTGTGCTAAAATCATGTCACGCGTACGTGTACACAATTAGTCCCGCTTTATTAATATTAAGATTGTTGGCCAAAGTTGCGCGAACGCATACTTTGATTTATTTTTGGGAAATCATGATCATATCACACGAACGTGTACACAATTACGACAGTCAATTAAATGCGCGCCTAAAGCATTGCTACGATTATTTATTAGTTGTATAAATTTGGTGATTGTGTGTGAAAAGGCTCGTGAGTATAGAGTGCTTTTACTAAAAAGATGTTTCATGCTCATTCCCTTTTAAACTTCTTATTTCATGTATTTGACCAAACTCAATCCTAAAACATAAGAACTATTAATTACTAATGGGATTTGGTCATTCCCCGCACCCACGGCCCAACAACCATTCAAAACTTCTACCAAAGCATCAGGAACACAAAAGAATACTAAAAGAATAAAGAAAGCTAAGCTTGAAATTTATTAACAAACAACGAATTACCCAAACTACACGACATGACCGAACTTTAAAGCTAAGTTCATCCTAATGAATTTTCCAAGAGGAAATTACTTCAATCAATGTCATGAAAATAAAACCCCACAACAATCCTTTTCGAATGCCATTCACGCCATGGACTTTTAAAAATTCTCAGATGTATTCAAAGAAGAACATGAGGTCATGACACATAGAGGGACTAGTAAACTAAATAATTGGCACCACTATCGACCCAATTCCACACACAGTTCAATGCCTACTATTAAAGCCAAGCATATCTGAACTAATTGGCACTTTAAACCCATTAAGAAAATATTTAACAGAACACTTGAACTCACAAAACAGTGGAGACTAATACCATTAGTACAAAAAGAAAATGACTCCCCTGAACTCAAAATAAATACGACATGTGCTAAAGACCCCTAACTCATTAGGCTCAATTGATAACAAACTAGCAAATAGCATCAAAGTCACCAATCACTAAAATTGCATGCTCAAGGATAAAGAAAAAACGAAACAAAGTTCTGCAGTATATACAAGTGACACACCAGTCCTTAAGCTCGAACAATCTCAAACTTAGCAGCCTAACTAAATGATGGACCTATAATCACCAAGAACCATTTCGAATCGGCATTCAAATTTAGCAATCATGCGAGAACTCTTTCAATTCCGAGAGATTGAATAATATATCTGACTTTTAGAATACGCGAAGAGGCTTCAACTGGAGAAGGAAATAAAAATGAACCAACACATACACATTCCGGCGAAACAACTCTATTTTGACATCGTTTACAACTGAAATAATAGACAAACAGCTAGCAATATGCAAAGCATGGAACCATCACGGCAAGAATGACTACGCTTGAAGCTTAACTTAAAATCTATCGAAAATTGGATAAGTCACTCATATCATAGCCAAACAGATCAAAACATAAGAGCTGCCATTTTGACAAACAATCACTCGTTCATTTTTTCTTATACGAACTGAAATTAAAACACTCAAATACCCTAACCCAGGCTTTTATCATATTTTACTAACACCAGAACAAACACAAAAGGGGAGAGGAACAGACCTGATGGATGTAAATTTCTTTCAATAGGAAAAAGTAGGAATTTCGGCTTCAATATTCTGAATCCAAAATCCGAACGAGAAAACAACCACAAGAAACCGAAGAAACATAGAACCACGACCGGAATCCGGAATGTTTGAATTCTAACTCCCACTGCCTCAAACAAATCTCGAACAAAACTCGAGTCGACAAACGACTCAATCGAATTCCATACTTGACACCCGAAATCCAAAGTAAAACCAATGAAGAAACCAAGTCGAAGGAGAAATTGAAGAACTACATTATTATTATTTTTGTTTCGTATTTTTTTTGGGATTTAAACTAAACTGTTAAAACAAAATTCGAAAAAATGAAGAGGAGTCCTTTTCTTTTCTGAAACTCTAATTTTCCCCAAAAAACTTTTGTTCTCCGTTCTTCTTCCTTTTTCTTTAGACCTCAGATATATA